AGATGATGCACTTAAAGTAGTAAGTGCAGTTTGCAAAGAAGTATGGAGAACACAGAAGTGGCCAAAGAACTGGAAGATCAAGTTACACTCCAGTCCTGTAGAAAAGTAGCACTAAAAAGTACTCACGCTGCTGACTTACGGAACAATTGCATTTATCTCACACGCTAGTAAGATAACACTCGAGAATCCGCAATCCTGACTTCAAGAGCAAATTGCTGACGTAATGGGTAATGAGGGGAGTTAAAAAGGCATCTATTTTTGCTTTATTGAGCACACAGAAGTTTTTGACACTGTAGACCACAACAGAGCACGAACAGCCCTTTAAAACATGGATGTTTTCAGCAGGCCGTCTCATCTGCTTATCAAAGAATGTCTGTGATAATCGGGAAGCAACTGAACAGTTCAACATTTGGAAAGGATTTGTCCAGATTGTCACCTTCTTTATTTAACTAATATGTAGAATACAACATTTACAACAAAGGTAGGTGTGGTCAAGGCAATGGTTTCCCATTGTAACATTTGGCTGTGAAGGCAGGATCCTCCGAAACAAGTTGAACAAAGAACAATGGAAGCCTCTGAAAGGTAGGAGAGGAGAAAATAGCGGAGAAGACCTCGGCCCACAAGAAGAACGTATCATTCAGTTCTAGCCGAAGCAAAGCCAGGCTGCCCCCTGGAAGCCCTAAGAACAAAGCTGAAGTTTAGTTATTTTGGACATTATTGTCCATTTAAGCACCCTGGGATCTTGGTGAAAATCCAAATTCAGAGGCAATTCAGAGTCCATTTCTTTCTTACCCACCCCAAAAAGGAATAGTTTCTTGGCTCAAACGTCTGATTAAGCAAGTCTATTGACAAATGCCTGCAGAGCGTAAGAAAATGAGATTTTCTTTCTCCTGAGCAGTTACTCAGCAATGTTTCTAAACCCCGGGTAGAAACTACAATCCATTTCAGTCTTCTGTCTCCAAATCTGCAAGAGATGAAGGGGAAAAGAAAACAAACCAAGAATAAAGGCTACAGAATATAGCAGCTAGAAGGTTGAGCAGTGAATCAGTTCCAACCTCATCTCAGAGACAGCCTTAGACAAGTCATTCCCTGTCAGCCTCAGTTCCCTCCTCCCCACTTGCAACATAGAGAAGGTAACCAAAAGACCCTCCCTTAGCAGAGTTGCTGTTGTGAGAACGGCAATAAAAAACTTGAAACAAAAAAAAATGTTAATTATCAGTACAGCTGTTCAAGCTGGCTGTTGTGTTCATGAGGACTAGAAGCCTAGAAAACAGACACCAAAAGGCATTCTGGATAGCCTGTTCTCTGCTCCTGCCTCGTTTGGAGAGGCCCCCACATCAACCTGGCGCCCTCCTGATGCAACGGTTTGCTCACCACTTTTGTAGTACTCTACGTGCTTGAGGAAGAGCCCGTCTGGGGGCGCAATGGTGTTTGGAGGGTAAGCCATCAAGTCCCGAACTGCCAGGAGTTCTTTGACGTGGTGTGGTTGTAGCCGGGACTGACCCACAGCCACCAATGCCCCGACCATTCGCCGCACCTAGAATGAGAAAGCTTGAAAATGCCAAGTTCCAGAATCAGCACGTTTGGGGCAAAATTGGGGAATGGAATCATGGAACTGAAGGGTTGGGTAGGTCCTTTGGAAGCCATCTAGTCTGACCCCCCTGAGAAATCCGAACTCTAGCATTCCCCAGAAATAGCCATCCAGCCTCTGCTTGAAAGAGGAGAAGAACCCACCAGTTTTCTGGGTTATCTCAAACCCCTCTTATTAGGAACAAGATTGGTCTTAATGTTCAGCCCAAATCTGTACTGGGTTCCAGCTTTTCCCCGCTTCAACGAGGTGGGAGAGGAACAGCATGCTTCTCTTAAGGACCTTTCTCTTCTTCCCTTCCTGTTTGTAGCCCACAAGTAGGCCAGGAGTGCACAATGCCAGATTAAATGACCCATGTACACATTGTGCTAAGCCATGGTTTGCTTACTGAGGATTTGTGGCATAAACCACAGTTGCCTGGATTCCTACCCGACCTTAAGCTTAGGTTTCAAAGCACCACAATTTGGCCCCAAGCAAACTGACGGCACTTGGGTTTAGGGCCAATAAGCAGCAGTGGTGGGAACTGCCCAGCGAAGGAGACTAAACCTGTTCCAGCCATATCAAATCCCCACTCAGGCCCAGCGCTCCCCAGATGACCTCAGCCCTCCCCGCAGGAGGGTTGTGAGGAAACCAGGCGACCTTTCTTTCAAGCCGACGGGGGTGGTCCCGGGGTTTTTGGAAAAGAACCTCTTTCCTTTAGCAAGGCAGCGAAACTACCCACCCGGATTCACTCGCGTCGCTTCAAGCAGCCGCAGAAACTCGGCTCCTGTAGGCTTTTGAGGCAGGGAGGCGAACGGCACGTGGCCGCCCACCCGCACTTGGCAGGGGCAGCCGAGCCCCAGAGCGTCGCGGCAGCAGTTTTTGGTGCTATTTTTAAGCAAGACGGCGGGGGAAATGAAAGTGCCTAGTCCTTTTTACTTTTTATTTTTGTAAGAACTGGCTGAAAACAGAAAGCCACCTCCTCTCCTTGTGGCTAACCAAATGGAGGCGCGTGCCTCCACAAGAGCCGGCATTCCTGCCCAGCCTCTGAATCATCTGCAGCGTGATTCACTTATTCTACCTAGGCAGACGTGGCCAGCTGTGCCCGAGGCCTACGGAGAGTCACCCATATATTCACGGTCGGCTGCTTGCCGGGTGACCTCACGGTGGGCCTCAAGAGAAACTCTCTTGGGCCTGGCTGGCTTGGAGTGATGGGAGTTGAAGTCCAACACATCTGGACGGCCGCAGCGGGGAGATGGCTGGCGAGTTAAGGCTCCTTTGGAGCACCCAAGCTGCTCTTCTGACATCTGCCACCAGAAGGTGCTGTTTACCCTTCAAGTTCATTTTAAAATTTCAAAGTTAGAGGCTGCCTCTCGATCATAAAAAGGTAACTAGGATTTGGACAAGATAAAAAAGATTAAAGAAAAAGCAGGCAGGGGCCACAAAACAGCCTGCGTTGAACAAAACCGGTATTCAAAATGTCTAGTTTCAAAAGCTCTCTTCATACCTGTTTGTACAGGAAAGATCGGCTTACAAACTCTAGTTCCCAAAACTTCAAGTTGCTGGGGAAAAAAAGAATGGGCAAAAAGGCAGCATTAAAATCCACGCAGAGAGGAAGACCCTAATTCCTTTTCTGTCCTTTCCTGCAATGCAATCAGATATCTGCTCAGGAAGAGATCCTCTGTGAGCAGAAGCTGTCTACCTCTGAATACAGCAGCAGGGATTACTAAGCAACTCGGCTCAAAGCCTCCATAAAACCTGGAAGAAGAGGCTGATCAGCATTTGGGAGATCCAAGATACCCCACATCTTTATTTCTTTTCCCACCCCTCTGTGCAGGAGGAGTCTGGATTACCTCGCCAGATTAAGCTATGGATGGGGATTTATAGGTCAAAACTAGGCAATCAGTAATCTATTTCCTCTCCAGATGGGGCTGGCGGGGAATTGTAGTCCTACAACTTTCAAGAGCCTCCGGTTTCCATTCTGAGTGAACCGTGTGAAATGGCCGGGCCATAATTCAGTCTCAGACCTGCTCTGTGAGCGTTTTACTAACGCAGGGGAGAGCGACCTTTTGGCTGGAGAGTTTTCAGAAAAGTAGCCGCTATTTTCTGAAATAATCCTAATGTCTAGGAACCTGATTTCTTTTTAAGCCACGCTGTTCCGTTATTTAAGCAACAGGCCCCAAACCCACACATTCCTGAATTATGTTACAATGCTTCATCTCAATTAGCCCCCTGGAGCCTGGCCTTAACCGTCTCCCCCACAGAACAGAGTAGCTCAAAATAACTTGGTGGAAAATGAATACTACGGAGAACAAATGTGGAGGAAAAACAGGCTGTTAAGAACAAGCTCTATCACAAGGCCCTTTCATCGGGGTTATATAGAACGGTATTTTTCACAGGCACTAATCCAGGGCCCCAGCATCAGCAATGCTGATAAAAAGTGCTCAGAGGATCCTTTTTCAAACCAACTGCGAGACCTTCAGACAAATCGAACACTAAACCTCGGCTTGAGCCCCACTGGCTGCAACATCGGATGTGTCCCTGCAACACATTCTCACCCGAATTCACCAGCAGGATTGTCATGGGTTAAGCCACACGTGCTAAAACGATCCCCTGCGTACAGTGGCAGTCTATCTTGGACTGCCCTGCTTGTGTCTGGTGGTCTTACAGGGCGCACCTAATGCAAAGCCATCACAGCTTGGCACCAAACATTAGAAGAAACTTTAGTTAGATGATGAACTCCCCGCTGACATTTCTGAGCAAAGGCCGGATGGCTGTCTGTGGGGATGCTCCAGCAGCTAGATTTCCAACACAGAGGGATGGATCAGCGTAGAAGAACCCCCTCCCAGAACCCCCTTCAACCCTTGGATTCAACAGTTATGACTCTTTTTGGATCACGTGGAAATGGCTCACTCAGCTAGCAGCTGGTCCTTCTCCCACAGCCTGGCAGGCTGAAGCAGCCTGAAGGGAAGCCACAAACATGCCGTGGGCTTCAGATGTCAACTAAGATCCCTTCCTCCTCTTTTCCCCATTCATCTTGTTTTCAGGTTTTAAAACCCAGCCTTTATTATGGCCAAGATTGGGCCCAATCTGCCAAGAAAGCCATCTGTTTAAAATAAGACCGAACTTGATCATCTCACTCAAAAGCGTGTCGTGATTGTATTGCTTCACATTGCAGAAAGGAACTGTATCTGGTCCCTGCAGATAGAAAGCCAGCAAATCAGGAGAAGGCTCGGCTCACTTTCTTCTTCCTGACAAGCTAGCTTACTCTGTGCAGAGATCGAATCCTCTTTCATTTGTCTCTTCTAATCATCTTGTGAGATCCCCCGTCCGCAGCTACCTCCTTAAAAAAAAAGAGCCACATGACCTGTGGGTGGGGGGGAGAACAGCACCTGTAAAGCTCTGGACTTCCATTGTAGGTCCGAAGCAGGGGGTGCAAAATTGAAAAGTGCAGGACTTTCAGGACCACGGAGAGCTCTCGGACCTTCACCGCCTTGTTCTGCTTCTTGGTTCCCCCCCCCCCCAGCAGAGTGTCCATTTCACCCTTACGGGGGCCCCAAACACCCAACTTAAATCCTTGAAAACTCCACTTCTTAGATGCAAATTAGTTAATGCCAAGCAATCAAAGGAAGGTTTTACCCTTGGAGGCCTATTCATCCAAGATCCTCCCTGTTTCATTTTTGGTCCCTTCCTAAGAATGTGATATT